CTAGGTGAAAGCCTACTTATCAGCGAAACATAAGTAATATAGTCGATTGCTACAGCAAATACAAACATGCATCATCGACAATTATACCACAGAATGATATATGTAAAAATACCTGGCCTTCCTGACCTGTAACCCAAGTGGAGGCCTGACTAACCCTGAGCCTACTTTGGGGCTATATCGTCTAAATCAAGCAGTGTCAATGTGGTGTAATGGTTAATGTGTCGAGAGTATACGCTGTACAGTCATAATTCGAGTCCCGCTGGGGATGTGATAAGATAGAGGCAAGGTTGAAACTACAGTCTACCGTGGATAAGAATTATTTTAGGGAAAGTAGGGCTATGCGAAATTCTCTGAAAACGTAAGGTCGACTTATATGATTGTGGGGAACTTTAACTAACAGTCTCCCTATCACACCAAACGAAATAGGATGAACACACCCTGTATATATATATCTATATAGAAATACTGGTTTTGGAAGAATCCCTTAATAGATTGATGTAGGAATACATTTCATTTCGTTTGAAGAGGCGAGTGGAAGGGCTTCGTAAGTTAGCCTCATCGGAAGCTGTAGGCAGGTTGCCTTGGAGCCGTGACTGTAGACTTGTGCAAATTTGTCCTTGACGCATTGTCCTGCCACCATGTTGAATCTTTGCTCAGCTTTTGTCCGTCGTGTAGCGGGCATCGTGTTGTCTTCGTGTTTTGGTGAACGCTCTGACGATGTCCGTCCCATGACGGACGAAAGCTCAGCTAGGATTCACCGAGGTCGCAGGGCGGTGCGCCGAGGACTTATTTGCATAAATCTACAGTCACACTTTTTCGGTGAGGCCAGTTCACGAATACCTTCCACTCGCCCCTTCAGACGAAGAGAAAGGTACTTCAGCATCATGTCATACTTATGTTGTGGTGTCTGTGTGACGAAGCCTACCGACCCACATACAGGAGAGGCGATGTGAAATGCTCAGGTCTAGAAAGGAAACAACAAGCAAACGCTTTGGTTGGCGTAAAAAGGTCAACCAGAAATTAACGGAACAACGAACATACAAAATCGTAGGAAAGAGTGTGGTAAATTATTGTGAAAACTTCTGTTTTCTACGGAAGAATATACGTAATAAAGATATTGGTAGGCCCATCTCCATAAAAGACGACACTGATTATCGTCGCTCTGTGCTATTGTAACGTTGAGGTTGGTGCAGACGAGGAGATCTTGTATTTTGGTTTCGATGAAAATGGGTTGAGATGGATCCAATTATACGTAAATTGGAGGAGCAACCACTTCTGAGTATTGAATAGAATGAGAGATAGAGAAGAAACATGACGAAGCAGCGACTAAGAAGTGGAGGCCTGATTAGCTCTGAGTCTGCTTCGTGCTTTAACGTCTCAATCAAGCATTTACCACGTTTGCAGACTAAGCAACCGCACACCCAACAACTTGTCAACACTACTGGATTGAACTACTAGGAAAGCACCGATCGCATTTGTCTGAAAGCCTGTAAAGGGGACGGAATGTCAGCCAAATTGTTATTTATCTTCGAGTGGAAACGGGTGTTCGAATAGGATCCCGAGTCATTCAAGGTGATGTCAAGTGGTGCAACGAGTGACATTTGACTTCTTCACAATGAACTGTGAAGAAAACCTCCGATGGCGAGGGAACTTCACATCGCAGCGTCGTCCAAAACGACTTTTCGCCTCGGCCGGCAGAAAGACTGGGTTTCGAAAACTCCCTCAATAAATTGATGCTGGAGTACCTTTCATTTCGTTTGAAGAGATGAGCGCAAGGGATTCGTAAGTTGGCTCCATCGGAGGCTGTGTGGGTGTTGCCTTGGAGCTGCAGTTGTAGATTTGTGCGAATAGGTCCTCGGCGCACCGCCCTGCCGCCCCAATCAATCCTAGCTGAGCTTTCGTCCGTCATGTGACGGACAACATGGTTGACGATAATTCACCAAAAAAACACGTCGAGAACCTATTCGCACAAATCTACAACTACATCTCCATGGCAATCCCCCCCTACAGCCTCCGATGGAACCAACTTACTAATCCAATTCTACTCGCCTCTTCAAACCAAATGAAAGGTACTAAAACATGCGACTACAAGCTTGATCGGAAACCGGGTCTTACTGATGCCCTCTAAGTTACAGCTTCTCCGTGACCGTCGCCGCCCCGGCAACCAGATCCGGCCACCTAGAGCCGACGACCCCAGGATCCAGCCGGCATGAGAAGACCTTGGAAAACTCATCCATCTGAAGAGACTGCAACTGACTCGAGTTCTGATGCAGGCGAAAACGTATCGTTTCGAACCCTGCTCACCTCGCGACTCCACG